CGTTTAGAGCAGGGGTCGGCAACCTTTCGTCGCTCGCGGGTTAAAATTAAGGGCTGCAAGTCATTGGCGGGTCGCACATATTTTTAGAAAGTTAAAAACCGAACGTATGATAATTTTTATAATAAAAATCAACCAGTGATACATCTCTCTAATAGAATATAGATTAATATAGATCTTCAATGCATTACATCTCAAAAAAATTCTATTTGAATATTTTCGGCGCCATTGAACAATAAACAAATTAAACAACAATAAATTCTGTTACGTAAAGAATATAATATATTACTATAATTCAGTGTGAAGCTTCGCGGGCCGGATTATATCACTTCGCGGACCGGATCTGGCCCGCGGGTCGTAGGTTTCCGACCCCTGGCTTAGAGATTGCAGAGAGCTGTTGTGCTTGTATCTTTATTATCTATAGAGTTTCCAATATTTAAGTTCCATTCACGTATTTTCAACTCGTTTTTGAATAAAAGAGCTTATTGTAAATTAGATACTTTTGAGGTGGGCCACGAGACTTGACAAATTTTAAAAAGGGGGCGCGGTTTGAGAATCACTGATCTAGAACAAGGGTGTTCCACATTTTTTGTCGGTGGTCCATATACCCAATTTCAGACATCATTATCTTTGTATCTGTAGTTTTAATCTTCACTGAAGTTAATCATCAGAGGAAGGCAGACAATCTTTATCATAGAGAATCATGTTTATAATAAGGACATTGGTGGATTTTCATATAATCTGTTCAAAAGAGCCCAGGAATTGGTTATTTTTCCTGATAATCACATTTCCTTGGACTAAAAAGATGACGAGGATATTAACCGTACTTTTTCAGAAAACATCGAAAAACCGGGCGAATAAAAACATCGTCTACGAAATTTATTCCCCGGACATTGAAACGTCAAGGCAAAATTGCTTCAGCGAGATAGTTACTGCCAGAAATTAAGCAAATGTCATCGTCCATGACTGAGAAACAGTCGAATAAATAAAACTTAGGTAGCTCTGAAACAAGTCATAGTTACCCGAATAATAAATTCAAAGACAACAGCATCAAATTCATGAGCGATAATGAACCGCCGAACCACAATGCTATAAAATAAAAATCTACCGCATCTGCAGGGAAGAATTCTTCCGCACAGTGACCAGATGAAAATCATCATTTACCCAATACAAGCGAAACATATTCGTTGCCAGAAAAGAGCCTGAATGATGGTGACATTTCGAATGGAATTGAACAAACTCGACTTGCTACTCCTGATATGGAGACGACGCTGACCCCTACCAATAATTTCCCGGTTAATGGAGAGAATCTACAACAAACGTATAAAACGTGAGTTCGGGAATCTGTAAGAAATTTGATACATCTGCTATTGTTGAGGTTCGTAATAAAATAAGCGATTTTTACGAGATTGAATGAATGCTGAGAAAGTTTTGAATTGTACTGTCCTCAATTCATGAAGTAGGAATCAAAACTATTTGAAGCTTTCTATGATAAGAAGTCGACTAAGGAGATAATAAATAATTGAATATATATTGAGATTCACTCACCCATGCACTTGACGCTACTTAATGAGAAAATAGCAGTACAAGACCGGAATAAAAACTAAACCTCGTATCAAATGTCAAACCGACTATTGAAATTGAATATTGTATTTATGTTTAGGGAAACAATCTCTTCGCCAATGTCAAAAATTTTGACAAATTTGAATACGAATTATCAATGATGGATTATTTTGCCAAAATAATAGCTCAGTTCAATTCAATTATAGATAAGTTATCTGATTCATTTTCATTAGATTTTGAGGAAATATGAGAAAAAATAAGAAGAATTTCCCAAGATATTATTTCACTCAGAAAATATCATTGCAAATCAAAAAATCCATTGCATTGTATCTGCTCCAGATTTTGCATGTGCATTCATCTTATCTCGGACCAGAAGCCTATTGATTTTGGGAGAATTATGTCGTATAATTAGCGAGTTATTAATTAATTAGTGATGGGACACAAAGTGTCACTATGGAGTAAGAGCGCTGTTTTGGGGGATCCCCTATTTTTCGAATTGATAGGTCTTCGGTCTCTGTCCGATATTCTCGTTTAATGGTTAATCCGGCGCTGCTTAGCAGACTTATTCAGCCGCTTGAACGCTCTAACAGTTCTCTGCAAGGTAATCACATCAACATAACAAAACTAAGCGTCTTGTGTTTTGGGATAACAATGTGCAGAATGGCGATATCGATATGTTTCCATGTTTGCAAAACATCGTAGCACAGAAGAGTTATTTGCTGTCATAAGTCAATACTTGGAAGTCAGTTTTAGCATTTACTTTTCGCGGAAAATGCTTAGATCCTCGCCAGGGTAACCTCTGGATTGTTAATTCTATTGCAAATGATATTAATTCGTACAATCTTAACACGGCTGTGAAAGATCGATGATTGAGCTTTCCTGTGATACCACGTTGATGTCGAAGAATAAAGACTTGCCCGTGTCACAGTATTGGATATCGCGTGAAAAAGAATATCCTGAGCTTCGTGACAAGGCCATCAAATTACTGCTTATATTTTGTTCAAATTACTCATGTGAAAAAGATTTTTGTCGTTATCTCTCATTGAGACCAAAGTCGCATGAAAGTCAACGTTCTACTTCGCCTTGCAGAAACTTCATTAAATTCGCGTTTAACACGTATGATATCAAATTTCTCAATAAATTGTATTGTCTGCTTTTGGACTACATACTTTTTCGTAACTACATTCTTTTAATTATGTATTGTGTTTTTGACATTTTGGGTTCACCGGTCCGCCAAATTAGTTTTGAAATTACACCAGCCTGCAAACTAATAAAGGTTGAGATAAAGTGTCTGGTAAAATTTCCATTGATACTACGTCAGCATGGCATCCTGTTAATTGCCCAATGTTACAGAAATAAACTAGTCGGCGCGGAGAAACATTCATTTTTCATGTAAAATATTTTTAAAAAGCAGTTATAATGAAGCGAATATTCAGAATTTAGCCGATCCGTGCAAATATCGGCACTTAAATTTCCATCGCTTAAAAAATGTTCGCCAAACATGTATCAGGTGAACGCAAAGGGAGGACTGAGACTACAGGTTTTGTGCTAGTCGGGGATTTCGTGAAGAAATTTGTAGTCTCTAACAACCCTCGGTGTTTCGGTTGGAACGTAGAAAGCTCCATGTCGTGGTGATTATGGTGTCCGCGGAAAGTGGGTTTGCATATTTACATATTTCTAGGCTTACCATACGTCCCGCTTTAGGCGCGACAGTCCCGCTTTTTGGCGTCTTGTCCCGCCGTCCCGACAAGTCAGCCAAAAGTCCCGCTTTGGCGTTCAGCCATCCAGCATAATACACGGAGATGTTCTCGTCACTGTTGTTGCTGGTTTAGCGCAACACTAGCGTACTTACTGAAGGTGAATGCGTTATTTTGTTTGTTTCGTTGTTTCCCGCTAACATTGTTAGCGAACGTATCACATGTAAAATCAATTCTAATTGGTCCTATTCGGACGTTCAAGTGAATGTAACATTGAACAACGTTTAAAGATGTTATCTACGGATAAGCATGCTTGGGCGAATAAGTAAATTCTCAATGCTTGAAAACGACAGAATATTTCATTATTCTTTATTTCTTTTGCTGTACATAAAATAATCTAAATTTGGATCATTTGTATCGTTAGCGTCTATTCCTTTCTATTTTTCGAACTGAACCCGATATTTAGACAGAGAATATTATGAGCATGAACTCTTGAGGGCAATATATATGGTCAAAGAAGACAGACGGGATGGCTTGAATGTAGGCCTATGTAGTAAAATCGGAAACTAAAGTTACAGGAGGCGTCCCGCTTTGAAGTCAAAAAACATGGTAACCCTACATATTGTGTCATATGATATGATCTCGATTCTATATATGTGCTATTAATATAAAAATTGATAAAATTTCGCATGTCTACCATAGCCATCTTAGTGCACGCCAGACGATTTTCGGTATTTATGTATTCTGCAATGTGAATAATAACGATTCCTGTAGCTTTCGAAGCGGTAATATGCCTCTTATAGCAATGTGAGTTTTAAGATGAATTTTTATTCTGCTTCGGTTCTTAGAATGAAACACATATTGAACATTTTATTTAGCTCAATCCCAGAGAGGATTTTCTCGTTAAAACCCCGGGAAAATCTGGTGTCTGACTACCCAATGATGAAAGAAGAATTAGGCAAGTAATTCATCACTTATTGAGAATATACAGATTTGGAATGTTTCTGGCTGAACAGGACTTTAGATGGGTTTCGTTGGACGATGATACACTGCGACTTCATTTTAAGTAACACAGACAACTTTATCAGTTGTGCTGAAATCCCATTTGCTTGGCGTGACCATGTAAAAGTATAAATGTTATGTTAGGCCATATATCCATTTATGGAAAACAATTGTTTCGACTGCTCAGAAGGAAGTGAACCCTGTGACGTCATAGTCATCAATGTGTTGTGATGGTTTCAATTACATTTCCATTGTAATGTATTCGTATTTGTAAGAATAAAATACGAATGCCGGTGGTTATATTTTACTCCGGTCACTATGAATAATCCGAAATAAGATGTAGCCTATTAGAAATAAGCCCGGTACGGGACAGACGTCGCAAATTTGTAGCTATGCGCATAAAGGCGGCGACTAAAAGATAAAAAAGCATGCATCGATGGTTTTACGTGCTATTGGAAAATCAAAACTAATTTGAATAACAACAATGCGTGACACAGGCGTATTGCGTTCTGGAAAACAAAAAATACAACTAATTATCGTTTCCCAGCAGTAGCGTAGGTGTGGAGATTTTAACTATCGTGTCCAATATTTTATTAAATTGAAAACACGGGATACGAAACCACGATTTACTTCCGTTAACACCATTTCTACCAATTGAAGTATAAAGTAGAGTGATGCATATCACGAACCTACAAACTTTCGGGTATGCTCGTGACGGATTCTAATTGCGCCAACAAGAGACAGAGACGTGGGAAAGTACAAGAATTTTGCTTAAAAGGAATGGAGCAAATGAGGATTATCATAATGGAATCTTAGAAAACTACAGAAACACAATAAGTTGTAACATCGAAATTACTGCTACTGGAATTGCTGAAAAAGCGTGAGAAGAGTTGTCAAGGTTTGTGTTTTTTTTAATATAAATCTACTATATTATAATTATGCTATATACTTATACACTACACAAAATATCTATGACTTGTTTCATTGCATGTACAAAATATTAGACGTAATGATATAAAGATATCAATGCTCTCATTTGATTATTAAATTGATAAACAAAACTACATTTTAGAAGATTATTTTTAATTCGACTTTAGTGAACAAAAATATCTCAAGAAATGAATTGTACGTATAGGTAAAAAACAAGCGTAATAATCATAATTTTACATGTGTTTTTAATCATGATCAAACATATTCACTAATTAAACGATTAGATTATAGATCAAAAATGAAAATATTTATTGCCGTGGTATTGATGTCGATGTTATATTCTGGAGAGGTTTCATCGTTGAATGGATGGATGAAGAATCTAGCTGGAGGTAATTATGTTTGCTTCATTGCACACTAATCCCATCAGAACTTTATTAGCATATATATAAGAATAAGTACAAATTTGAATGAGGAAATTGTACAATTGCACTTTGGAATATTAGAATGGAGTCAGATTTATTTATGTTAAGATTTTTCCGACCTGAGCCCGACAAAATTAAGCAAGTATGGTTGTGGGTTTCTGTAACCAAATTCGCACCCCTTCATTTATCCATTTAGTATGTAATATTAACAGACCATTACATCCATACCTCAGTATTTTTGGTTCCGATCCTATCTATTGGAAATTTTTTATATTTATTATTTGTTGCTTGCGGGTGTGTTGCTATTTATGAATCACTCAAAAATAATTGTATCGAATTGGAATGAAATCGGATTCCGCAATTGAGAAATTTGATATCAGTGAAATCGTGCTTTCAAATTAATTAAACAAATCAACTCACAAACAACAATACTAATTACAATACAAAACGGAAGTACAATGTTTATATATATTATGTATCACAAAGACGAGGCGTAGCTTCTATCGTGATCAGTACAGTCGCAACTTGGAGTGCTTGCTTGTAGCAACTTTCGACATTATCATTTTCATAGAGGGAGAGAGAGTAAGAAAAGCCAAAGAATAACTTTCATAAAAAAGTTGCCGAACTAGAATAGACTGTAGCAACAGTGGAGACTGACTAACAACAAAAAATGTATACTATTAAATACTTACAATTGAGAAATTTATTTTTTTTGAAAATTGATAAATTAAACCACATATCACTTTGTTTCAGATGGCTAGATGAACATTGTAAAAAACTTGGTGTGCTGGCAGTAACTGACAATCCAACAGTTCTCTATACTGTAAACAAATGGAAATGCAAAGACTTCAAACCTACGCGCATTAGTACAGTTGAATGCCACAGACTATGCCCACGTACTTGGCTGGGCACCCAGAGAACATTGGTAATGCGGAACAAGTGCGACTGCATCGGATTAACCCTACGAATAACCTGTGATTGTTTGAATCGCGTAAAATAATATGTATTTTCTAACATATGTTAGAATAGTTGAGACAATGCACAACTGATAAATACTGAAATGATAGAAGTCGAGCTTTATAGTAGTTTGGCATATGTTATCTATAAGTAAATATAATAGAAACTGTTCACGTATGTTTGTGTAACACATAGCTGTATAGAGTAGACTATTTTATCACTAACATTATTGTATATCTTATTTATTGATAATCACTGTCCGACTTATGCAACTATTTAGTTAACAGACTTTCAAAGTTATTAGTAAGATTAACTTTTTTCATATGTAATCATTTATGTAATCAATGTATTTTTAATAATATACTTGATTGTGTTAAAGCTTTTCCAGAAGTGTTGTTGGTTTGTATTTTTTTTTTGCCAATTTCATGGGATCTGACTCATGAAATAACACATCTTTACTTTGTTGGTGTTTTTAATATATACTAGTTCCACTATTTTATTGTTATCCTTTTTGTTCAAAGTGCTAGTTAGCTGTAGCAAAATAGGTAGATTCTTAATGTATGCTTTTTTCTTATTATTTTCTAGTAGTCCGGGCCTTTTTAAGTTTAGAATGGTATAAAGAAAAAAGCACAATATTTACATTATTTCTAATTTTGGCATGCTACCCATCCATCTGAGTATTTTCAGATTTACATGCATGCTATCAAACAATCAACCCAAATGTAGGTTTGTTTTTTTACTAATCGAAATGTTTTATTTAATCTAATTCATTGTCTGAAATATTTGCGTTTGTATATTTATTATATTTATTTTTATATTGATTCCATTTCATTTGATATGTGATAACCTATTGGATTAAAAATTTGTCAGTAATGAGTATACACATACCACATATAATCTGCTTTATCATCGAGAATTCATTTTATTGCTAACCAGGAAGAGTGTCCAAAAATGTGGTTTCATACTTGTTTGAATACCACTATATATGCTTTTCTAACCTCCTGTACTAAGTATTATGAAAATGCATTCTAATCTATAGCACAGCACGAATCACAGATAAATTCAGCTATTTTCCCGCAATATTTCCTTCCTGTGGGAGATATAGGGAAAATTTGTTCAAAAGGGACGAGTGTGGGGAATGTGCACATGGACGACATTTTTGAGACACCGAACCGGAAGCGGGGTTACAGGTGAGCTTATGTGAATAGGCAGCGCGCCCCACAAAGGGGTCGTAGACAATTTTTTGAGGAGGATCGGAGATAATTGAAAATGATCTTGCGCACCATCTCGTTTAGAGCAGGGGTCGGCAACCTTTCGTCGCTCGCGGGTTAAAATTAAGGGCTGCAAGTCATTGGCGGGTCGCACATATTTTTAGAAAGTTAAAAACCGAACGTATGATACTTTTTATAATAAAAATCAAGCAGTGATACATCTCTCTAATAGAATATAGATTAATATAGATCTTCAATGCATTACATCTCAAAAAAACTCTATTTGAATATTTTCGGCGCCATTGAACAATAAACAAATTAAACAACAATAAATTCTGTTACGTAAAGAATATAATATATTACTATAATTCAGTGTGAAGCTTCGCGGGCCGGATTATATCACTTCGCGGACCGGATCTGGCCCGCGGGTCGTAGGTTTCCGACCCCTGGCTTAGAGATTGCAGAGAGCTGTTGTGCTTGTATCTTTATTATCTATAGAGTTTCCAATATTTAAGTTCCATTCACGTATTTTCAACTCGTTTTTGAATAAAAGAGCTTATTGTAAATTAGATACTTTTGAGGTGGGCCACGAGACTTGACAAATTTTAAAAAGGGGGCGCGGTTTGAGAATCACTGATCTAGAACAAGGGTGTTCCACATTTTTTGTCGGTGGTCCATATACCCAATTTCAGACATCATTATCTTTGTATCTGTAGTTTTAATCTTCACTGAAGTTAATCATCAGAGGAAGGAAGACAATCTTTATCATAGAGAATCATGTTCATAATAAGGACATTGGTGGATTTTCATATAATCTGTTCAAAAGAGCCCAGGAATTGGTTATTTTTCCTGATAATCACATTTCCTTGGACTAAAAAGATGACGAGGATATTAACCGTACTTTTTCAGAAAACATCGAAAAACCTGGCGAATAAAAACATCGTTTACGAAATTTATTCCCCGGACATTGAAACGTCAAGGCAAAATTGTTTCAGCGAGATAGTTACTGCCAGAAATTAAGCAAATGTCATCGTCCATGACTGAGAAACAGTCGAATAAATAAAACTTAGGTAGCTCTGAAACAAGTCATAGTTACCCGAATAATAAATTCAAAGACAACAGCATCAACTTCATGAGCGATAATGAACCGCCGAACCACAATGCTATAAAATAAAAATCTACCGCATCTGCAGGGAAGAATTCTTCCGCACAGTGACCAGATGAAAATCATCATTTACCCAATACAAGCGAAACATATTCGTTGCCAGAAAAGAGCCTGAATGATGGTGACATTTCGAATGGAATTGAACAAACTCGACTTGCTACTCCTGATATGGAGACGACGCTGACCCCTACCAATAATTTCCCGGTTAATGGAGAGAATCTACAACAAACGTATAAAACGTGAGTTCGGGAATCTGTAAGAAATTTGATACATCTGCTATTGTTGAGGTTCGTAATAAAAATAAGCGATTTTTACGAGATTGAATGAATGCTGAGAAAGTTTTGAATTGTACTGTCCTCAATTCATGAAGTAGGAATCAAAACTATTTGAAGCTTTCTATGATAAGAAGTCGACTAAGGAGATAATAAATAATTGAATATATATTGAGATTCACTCACCCATGCACTTGACGCTACTTAATGAGAAAATAGCAGTACAAGACCGGAATAAAAACTAAACCTCGTATCAAATGTCAAACCGACTATTGAAATTGAATATTGTATTTATGTTTAGGGAAACAATCTCTTCGCCAATGTCAAAAATTTTGACAAATTTGAATACGAATTATCAATGATGGATTATTTTGCCAAAATAATAGCTCAGTTCAATTCAATTATAGATAAGTTATCTGATTCATTTTTCATTAGATTTTGAGGAAATATGAGAAAAAAATAAGAAGAATTTCCCAAGATATTCTTTCACTCAGAAAATATCATTGCAAATCAAAAAATCCATTGCATTGTATCTGTTCCAGATTTTGCATGTGCATTCATCTTATCTCGGACCAGAAGCCTATTGATTTTGGGAGAATTATGTCGTATAATTAGCGAGTTATTAATTAATTAGTGATGGGACACAAAGTGTCACTATGGAGTAAGAGCGCTGTTTTGGGGGATCCCCTATTTTTCAATTGATAGGTCTTCGGTCTCTGTCCGATATTCTCGTTTAATGGTTAATCCGGCGCTGCTTAGCAGACTTATTCAGCCGCTTGAACGCTCTAACAGTTCTCTGCAAGGTAATCACATCAACATAACAAAACTAAGCGTCTTGTGTTTTGGGATAACAATGTGCAGAATGGCGATATCGATATGTTTCCATGTTTGCAAAACATCGTAGCACAGAAGAGTTATTTGCTGTCATAAGTCAATACTTGGAAGTCAGTTTTAGCATTTACTTTTCGCGGAAAATGCTTAGATCCTCGCCAGGGTAACCTCTGGATTGTTAATTCTATTGCAAATGATATTAATTCGTACAATCTTAACACGGCTGTGAAAGATCGATGATTGAGCTTTCCTGTGATACCACGGTGATGTCAAAGAATAAAGACTTGCCCGTGTCACAGTATTGGATATCGCTTGAAAAAGAATATCCTGAGCTTCGTGACAAGGCCATCAAATTACTGCTTATATTTTGTTCAAATTACTCATGTGAAAAAGATTTTTGTCGTTATCTCTCATTGAGACCAAAGTCGCATGAAAGTCAACGTTCTACTTCGCCTTGCAGAAACTTCATTAAATTCGCGTTTAACACGTATGATATCAAATTTCTCAATAAATTGTATTGTCTGCTTTTGGACTACATACTTTTTCGTAACTACATTCTTTTAATTATGTATTGTGTTTTTGACATTTTGGGTTCACCGGTCCGCCAAATTAGTTTTGAAATTACACCAGCCCGCAAATAATAAAGGTTGAGATAAAGTGTCTGGTAAAATTTCCATTGATACTACGTCAGCATGGCATCCTGTTAATTGCCCAATGTTACAGAAATAAACTAGTCGGCGCGGAGAAACATTCATTTTTCATGTAAAATATTTTTAAAAAGCAGTTATAATGAAGCGAATATTCAGAATTTAGCCGATCCGTGCAAATATCGGCACTTAAATTTCCATCGCTTAAAAAATGTTCGCCAAACATGTATCAGGTGAACGCAAAGGGAGGACTGAGACTACAGGTTTTGTGCTAGTCGGGGATTTCGTGAAGAAATTTGTAGTCTCTAACAACCCTCGGTGTTTCGGTTGGAACGTAGAAAGCTCCATGTCGTGGTGATTATGGTGTCCGCGGAAAGTGGGTTTGCATATTTACATATTTCTAGGCTTACCATACGTCCCGCTTTAGGCGCGACAGTCCCGCTTTTTGGCGTCTTGTCCCGCCGTCCCGACAAGTCAGCCAAAAGTCCCGCTTTGGCGTTCAGCCATCCAGCATAATACACGGAGATGTTCTCGTCACTGTTGTTGCTGGTGTAGCGCAACAGTAGCGTACTTACTGAAGGTGAATGCGTTATTTTGTTTGTTTCGTTGTTTCCCGCTAACATTGTTAGCGAACGTATCACATGTAAAATCAATTCTAATTGGTCCTATTCGGACGTGAATGTAACATTGAACAACGTTTAAAGATGTTCATTTGTATCGTTAGCG